TCTCCTGTACTAGGTAACAAACTTGTGAATGATGACCCAAGGACCTTCATTTCTGGGAATTCAACTCCAGTTTGCGAAAGGAACAATTTCAGGTGAAAGAAGACGGGAACCTATTCAATGGCGGTAACATGAAAGCCGATATTTAATGGGCAAGTAGTGGTCATTAGACAACGTTGACCGTTATTTATCGCGGCAGTCCCCGAAGATTTGGGATACCGGAGGCGGGTAGCTCCGAATTTATAGCCGTTGTTACCTAGCTGTGCTCGGTTATACCTTTTCAATGTAGCTTAAAATATATTGGCATCCCTAGTGTTGTCTTTTCTTTCTTCTTCTTTCTCGACAATTTTTCTCTTCCCCTTGATGACAATAGAGATGGAAAGCAGATAGGAGTTATAAATTTCTATTGAACGCAAGTCAAGTTAATGAGCTTTCACACACATTTATCAAATAATACAAAATAGTAGTATTTTTAAAATCTCTGTTTCAACGTTATAGGATATTATGACATTATCTTCAAGTAAAAACTCGATTTTTATGTCTCAAGCAAAATTTAAATTCTAAAAGGCTCACCGATTTCATAATAAATGTCGAATAATTGGAAAAAGAAAAATATAAGAAGATCATTTGAACTGTAATTTTTCAAACACCATCTGCGAGTACTTATTGAGAACTTTAATGTGGTTCAGAAGAACAGAGCATTAGATCTGAGCAAGATAACAAGATAATTGTGTCTCTATTTTATGCTTGATTTTTCGCTGTGCGGTTAACTTTTAAACATGATAAATTGCAATCTAGTACATTAAACGGAAGTGAAAAGCTATGAGAATATTTTCACTAAGATTCGAAATCAGGCCGCTGAAAGAAGACCCCAGCTGCATTGCATTCTTATTATTGTATTCTTATTATTTTCAATGTATTAAAATTCGACGATACAAAATTAATTTGCCATAAAATGAAGATATGATTACGGTAAAAATAATAATACTCTATTAAATATATAGTTAGAATAAATTCTTGTCTTATAAAAGGTTTTACATTAATATCATCCAAAATATTCCTTACGATTTATGAGGCCTAACTGACGCGGTCTAATTAATTTGTTAAAAACAAATAATACAAATTTATTGATTAAAAAGACGAGTATCGTTGAAGGTTAAATAGTCTTTAAATCCATACATACCGAAATTTTTATAATTTAAGTACGAAGATATACAAATTTCTATAGTTTGAAAGCAACTCAGTTGTGCAAGTTATGTATCAAAATCGACACCCTGTTATAATAAGCCTGAAATAGTCTTCATTTCCGTCTGTTGTAAAAATGTAATGGCTTTAAATCGTACTTTGGATTTCATAAATATAAAATATAAATGTAATTTTGAATTTATATCATTAGGACCAAACTGAAGTGAAGAAGCCAACTAGCTTTCTTTGCCAGCAGCATCAAAGATTTCTCACTGCCCTTTTAAATACGGTGACAAGAAAATATGGAAAGAGATATTTCCATTTATAATCGGATTACAGGGTGCTGATAATGTCATTCCAAAAGCAGTAAAAGAGTCCTAATTAAGCCCTCCTCTAGAATCCCTGAATACATTTTAAAAATCTGGGTGGTCGCGCCGGAGATTCCCCCTGCTCCTTACCTGTTTTCCTTTTCCACATTGCTCTCCCTGTCCCCTCTTTGCTTTGTCCGCTCCGTGTTTTCAAGGGTTCATTTCCCATTAAGTATCTATCTGCACAGGTGCCTAGAATCCAAGTCAAGATTTGGGTCTTTTCCAGAGAGGATATTGAGTTTCAGGCTTTCAGAACCACCAATTGACTGCCGATATTTAGACAATATCTTCCCCTCCTTTTTTGAAGGAATCACGCAAGTTACTGAAGATTGCTCTTCGGACATTACATTTATTCCCACAAAATGTCCCCCCGAAAAAAAAGGAAGAATCAAGACCAACATTTAGTGGGAATTTAAGCAATGCAGTATGCAATAAGAAAAATAAACAATTTTTCATGTAGAGCAATGGATAAAATGCATTAAATTACATTAAATTTATAAAAATATTCAATATAATTCTAAAAAATAATAAATTTAAGTACTTGCAATAATTTTTAAGCTTTTTTAATGAATCCCAGGTAGCGGCAATGTCAAAGTGCAGAATACAGCTTTAAAGCGAAGAATCTGGCGCCTTATCTGTACTTTTAAGCATTCAACACAACTTCACCTGTCGTGTTACCTCCCGTAGAGCTGAATGAAGCTTTGGGCCTCTCCAGGGGGCTGGGCAAACAGAAGCAAAATAATGTCAACAGGGCTCTAAATCAAACACGGATGTGGCAATGGGACACTTTTACAACACCTTACCTTTTCCTTTGTGCTTGTTTAGATCTCTCAAGAGCTCTGTGTTTGTTGTAGCAAAGATGGCAAAGCGTTTTCGTGGAGTATCTCGGTATTTATGAAGTACTGCAGTATCGGGACTAGGATAAAACTCCAATGAATAATATTTAACATGCTTGCTGATTGAAAACACACAGAGAGAGAAAAGCTAGTTATATTTGCTTGATATCAGCTAACATAACATCCTTCAAACGGAAGTGTTACGAATACTTGTTTTTATTGAGTATATGAAACAGTTATTGGCTATAATATTTATAACTTAACTAAAACTATCTAAGAAAATAACATGCGGAGACTAGTTTCTAAGTACGCAAATTTTACGGACATATTTTGATTACATTAGACGATTTAAATCCAGCAAACTTCCATTCAATTGAATTCAAAATTCAAGTACTGGAGAAAACAGTTGCGTGTGTCCAGCTGTCATCCAAATAGATGATGATGAAAAAGTATGACATCAATCCAAGTCCCTCATTTTACCCTCTTGCTCTGCTTTTCTGCCACCCGCAACGCTTATTGACATTTCATTCATGGCATGTATTTATTCCCCTCCACTGCACTTAAATGGCAGTATGCCATCTGTTGCTTTTAAATGGAAACAAATACCGAGTCCTTTTAAAATAATCGATCACTCGCCTAGAAATTTATATCCTTCAAAAGATACATAAGATGTCTTGGTTTATTTAATATCTTGTTTGAAGTAAAATAAATTGAATTAATAACTGAGAGCTCGTTTTCTTTTCCTCTATACGAAAATTAACCAATATCTTTCTTATTTATTTAATATACAGCTAAAAACGGAAAGAGAACTGATATTAGCACCATATGTTACAGAAGAATATAATTTCATAAAAAAATAAAACGCAGCTTTGTAATTCATTTCGATACAACACGGGAAAAAGAATAAATTTCCCATCAATCATATAGATATGCATGTTATGCAGTTGCCCTCTTTTAAGCATTCCTACCAGAAATTTTACTATTATTAGTTTATTGTGGTAGGAACGATATTTGAACAACAATGTAACTGTTTAACATTACTGTGGTTCCCACTTCGGGTGTGAACAAGAGGGGAGAAGGAACATATGTCCGGCGGGGAATAACAACCGAGACATGGTGGGAAAGAAGTACAAAGCATATTTCTAACGGCACAAGCATATACAATATTGCTAAACGTTATTTGGGGTGAAAGTGCACAAAAGAGCACTTTAAATATTCCTCTCTTCAGTCAAGGAAATTGAAGGGCTAACAGACGGAGAAGGGCGGAATGCGAAATTTGCTATGCCCAGCTCTCTCTCCTATTTATTTTTTCATATTTCAAATCCAAAAATTACTTTATTTAGTGAGATGTAATTTTTGTTCAGTACAGTATATGAGATGCTGCAGATATGATTTCAGTCCAAGCAATAAAATGAATAAAAGAGTTACACCAGCTTTGACAGCAGAAATATCTTTAACGAAATACTTTCAAATAAAATTGCTAAATAAAATTTAAGATCTTTAGCTTTCACAACGTCTCACAAATAGTCAATTCTCAAACTGCTGCCATCCGGATGCCATTTCTTTATATTTATTTTTCAAAGTTAATAAATTTGTAATTGCTTAACAAATTGTGAGATTTCAATTGTGAGAAGCAATAAATGAGCTCCTTAGCAATTTAAATCTTTATTACATTTTAAATAATGTTTTCAGTAGATATAATTTTAAATATATTTAATTTATAATATATCCAATGGGTAATCATTTACGAGTATTTGCAGAGCTATTTTAGCTGATAAAAGGCATATCCAATGAATTATATTACTCACTAATATAATGTTAATTACATTTAATTATATAATATATCTAACTGATAATTTTTAGGAATATCCGTAGCTTTATTCTATTTTACAAAAGATATTTTACTTTTCCAGTGCATATAAAGGCTCTGTTTTTACCGTACAGATAGTTAACTGTTTTCAATAAGAGATCTCTCTCTGATTTGAATCAAAAACTAAAGATGGGCTATTTTTAGTTTTTGATTCCAATGAGAGATGTGGCATTCTTACTTTTATTTGAGTATATAGAAGAAATTTTATGATTATTGAAAGTCTCAGTTACTGAGTAATGTTACTGAATAAGAGTGAAATTTTAGTATTGCGAAAATCATCAGTCAGTATATTAAGTAAATAAAATTTGTAAGGATTATGCTAATTTTATTAATAGTTAAATTTTGAGTTAAACTTCCTTTCCTATCGATTCTTAATTTCAACTTACCACTTCCGGCCAGAACGTAGTTTTAGAATTGCATTTGAATACTAATGAGAAAGAGCGGTATTTAACCGCGAAGTTCCACTGTCTTAGAGGGAGAGGTACCATATATTCTGGCTGCACGCGTTCGCATTTTTAGGCTACTCTCTCGTACGCTATTATTACGCTCGGCCGTACTTTAGGCCTTTGATAGCTTCGCAGTCAATTAGCTTTAAGGGGCCAACTCTGTTACAATTTTGATAGCTTCGGCTATATTTCTTTAGTCAAGATTAGTTTAGTTTAACTCTTAGTTTCTTAAGTTCAAGCCCAAGTGTCGGCTTTATTGTACAACTCCAAGACAGAGTTCTGTTAAATCTTATTTGAATAATAAAGAGTTATTTTATCCTTCTATCTTGTTGTTTCCTCAAGCGATTATTCGCTTAAAAGTTCTTCACTTTCAACGTTAGAAAATTCTTCACTTTCAACGTTAACTTAGAATTACACAATGGAGAATCCTACAAATTCATACAAATACTCTAGCTGTAACATTCAGTGAAAAGGGATTTTCATGAGACGGGAAATTTTAACAATACACATAATTAAATAACCTTCTGGACTATAGAATTAATCATTGGGTAGTAATGAAAAAAATATTGAAATGTTGTCAGAATTATTAGAATGCGACAAATACGAGTACGTAGTTGGTAAAATAGGAACTATCGAATGACTTTACGCAGGAGCATCCCAAGCATTTTATTTGTAAAACAAAAGAGCACTGTTTGCGAGCGCACTAGTACGGAATACGTGTGTTTTAATAATCATCAATATAAAGTAACAATTTACAATTAAAAACACATTTTCTAATATTTTGTTTATAACTAAATGATTGCCCGAAAATACAACATCTGTATGGAATACTTAATCCTTTCTTTTAAATTTATGGCAAACTTAATATTGTAGCATTCGTAATACTTCGATGATCGACAGTATACTAAGGATCAAGTATTCAAAGACGCTAAATACGGTTTGAGCAGTTGGTGAGTTGTAACAGGGTGAATTTACATCCTTAATTAATCTTATTAAACGTGTTTGAAGATGCGTGAATATAACATTATAGGTACGCGGTATTTAATATGAAAATAAAATACCTTTCTAAATAAGCCATCTTCACCTGCATATATTAAAAAGCTGGCAGTGAGAAAGTAATTACAGAAATTGCACAGTTAGTTAAAATAAAATACAAAGTCACATTTTTTGTAAACGTTCAGAATTTTGAAAATAAATTCATTTACGTAACTGACACATTTTTACGCTTATTTCTTCCATACTGTACTCTATAGACGCAAATACATTGAAGCATATGATAGATAACAGCAATTTAAGGTGTTACATTCAAATATTTATTCTCCCTGAAGAACGGGGGAAAAAGTGATAAAGTGTCATGGACATTCAAATTCTAATATTTTTCACACAATTGAAAAAATAGATACAATTAAGACTGCTTTTATTACAATTAAAAAAGGAGACTTAAAATGCATGGCATTATAATTAATTTTTTAATTACACCCTGAAGTTACAGAACAGGTCTTTTCCAAAATAATAATAATTTCTTACATTTTACAAATTAAGAAATTAATTTATTTTTCATGATATTAAATATAAAGTGTATAGTGAAAATAATTAAAAAAACTAAAAATTTAAAAAAAAATTAAAAGAAAATTAGAGATTAAATTTGTCCCCTTTTCGTTCAAATTTTTACAATATGTACTATACATTTAATGTCAGAACTTTTTATCAACTACATAACTGGAATGACTTAAAACAAAGTTCTTTCAGATGATAACATAATATGCAATCAGCATCTAGTTAGAGATGGCACATGATTTGAATAACACATATAAAGAAAATGTTCTGTACAGGTATTGGCAAAAACACTAAACATACATGACTTTTTGCCGTGTGCGGGCGAGCTGTTGCCATTTCACGACGACTCAATAACGTAAAGATAAAAGATAGCAGACTTTCCTTTCTTACTAATCAGTTTGTAACACAGAATTCTTTTTTAAAATTAACAACCATTACTTTAGATAGGATGCCCCTTTGGGAAATTCATACTTTTCGGTGCAATATTGTAAAAACATGGAATGGCAATATTACTTTTAATTATTCTGAACCTTCCGAAAAGGCTAAGCAAATTTATAACCCGTACGTTGACATGACACAATACGAAATGCACAACGTGTTATCTAATGTAACTATTAGAGTTCTAAAACCTACTACCATTGCAATAAATAAATTTCTATATTTTCGAATAAATAACATCAAGTTCAAAAGACCTACGTATAATGTGGCTACTATTCGAACATCTAGTTGCATTCGAGGAAAGTCCGCAGGCGTATAGTCTGTCTTCGGTTTCAGAGAACACAAATTGGCACTTCCTTTAGTTGCAATAACGCATAGCCGGTCCCCAGCAATAGTTCTCGAGAAAAATGGATGAACATCGAAGCATCAGCCTAGTTACATCTCGCCAAGGTCCTGCCTTGGAGAATGGTTCTCAAAAAATTCACGTTGGAAAGAAAGAAGCAACAACCAAAAAATTAGAAATCTAACATCTGAAGCTTGTCGATTTCGGTGGTGGGTTCACCTTGTAGGCGTTCTTGGCACTATTTTCCTATGGCGCAAAGGGGTGTGACCACGTCCCGTTAATAAGTCTTTCAGTTTCGATGGGTCTTTGATTCTGGGACCAGGACCCATAGGGTCTTTTAAACCATATGGATGATCCCTTTTTATAAAGTGGTAGCACTTCTTTTTTGTTTTGTGTAAATTTCCTTTGAGTGGCTTGCCCTTCCTATTGAAGCCTACGTACCAATCTTTATTAAAGATCGATTGCAGCACTGTGTAGTGGTCTTCACTGAAATTTTCTTCGAACATACAAAGCCTCTTTTTACCATTGAACTGAAAGAAAAAAGAAAAGCAATTAAGACATGCAGAATATTAGGTTTATTTATTTTTTTTTAAGTCATAAAGTAACAAAATTTAAGCATTTAGGTTTTGAAATGAAAAGCAACATAACCCTGATTTCAAAAGAAATGTTTATAAAGAAATGACATTAATTTCCCATAAAATATTTCACCTTAAGCTATGTTAATGCTGAAGAAATAATTATGTAACCATTGGGAAAATAAAAAGAAAATGTGGTAATCAGATATCATTTTATTTTAAGATGCCGTTACAGTATTTAAATGTGAACTCATTAACATTTCTAATAAGCAAACGAAAGAAAACTACGACAGTTAAACGAATTTTTGAAGAACATTGGAAACTTCTTTAAATTATTAACATTAAAGAATATCAAAGAAAATGTTTTCAGTTATATTAACTCACATTTGTGCAGCAACAGATGTTATCAATTAAATTCAGAATATATCTAACTTCAGAAGAATGGGATTTTTTCTTCTTAAATCATCTTCTAAAGTGATGACAGTACTCTAAACCAATGCATATTCTATATAGAATATTTATTTGACGGAAAAAACTTTTTAATACTGACTTATGTAGGAAATCGAGTCCTTGCATAAGATACTTCTTTTATCTTTCAAAACTTCTTTTCTTTTATCATCTATCTATAACGTTATTTTTGCAGAAAAGTAAGTCAAAAATCTTTAATTAAGAGAGTACCTAAGTTGTCTGGCCGTTCTCTGCAACAAAAATATTACAGCGTCGAACCTTCTGCTATGCATAAAACTTTAAGTTGAAACTTCAGTGAATTAAATTAATAGTCTCATATTTTTATAGCTTAAGAGGAGAAGAATGAAAGAGATTATGGCAAACAGCTTGCTAATTTTCATGGGTTCTTGATTCCTAAACAGCCAAAGAAACTAGTTTGGAAATCCAGGAGATTGAGTTTTCCGTACTGTGGAATCATAAACGTAAATCCAGATAAAGACAGGCATATCTATGAATGGGACGTACAACTAACTGTCTTGCAAAGGCGAAGTTAACTATCAACAGAGGAAACAAAATCCTGAGGTATTAAGAAATAGAAACTATCTTTTATAAACTAGGAACTTCAGGTGGCATGTCTTAAGTAACAAACATTAAATACAGAGAAAAAAAAAAAAGAAAAGAAAATCTGAAAGGCTTCATATCTTAAATTACGTTTAAAGGGGCGGTTTTTTTTTAAACATTTTGTAAGTTATCTTTATTTATTAAATATCATGTTCTACGCACTTAAACCATCAAATTCAGTTCAAGAGCAATGTCGCAAAATAATTTTAAATTGAGCATATCTTTAGAATTTCCGATACGTAGTCTCACGCGCTCGAGATAAAAATGCTTTTCTGTACAACATTGCCATTGCTCGCTTTGAAATCCTTGAGTCTGTTAATCAAAAATTCGTGAAAGTTTTACAAAATAAGAAATCGATAAAAAAAAAAAACAAATTCCAAATTTGCGCTTCCAGATGCTCATATTCGCAGTAGAATTACGTCATTCAAAATTGGATGGCTCTAGGTATCGTTGTTTTATCCCAATGCGAGAAACATACATACATTTATGCAGATTTTTCATTATTTAATTTCTTCAATTATAATGCAGGGCGATAATATTTGGTGGCAACAGTTTGAAAAGTGACATTCAGAGTGATTCGATGCAAAATCGCAAAATGAAAACAATAGTCCACAAGGACAAAGCCCCCTTGGACTAAAAACTATATCAATGGAAGGTAGGGTCACCGTTTTAAAATCATTCAGCATTTAAAATCAATAGCAGATTGATTAAATGTGATAGATAAAATTAAAGAGCTTATACTTTACAGAATGGTAACACTCTGAGAAATGGTTTTGCCTAAGGACACGGTGAAAGAAACTTAATGATTTTATGCTTCTGGTAGAGGTAACGCTTACCAAAGCGCATTGATAGTAAATGCTGCTTACAAGCTCTTTCCGTTCTGCGTTCGTGGGTTTTTGAGTCATGATTGGGCCTACACATTTTATTTGGCAAGAATGAGAATTTTTTTCAACTGAAAACAATACACCTCTTCGAGGTGTTAAAAGAGTGAAGGGAGAAAAACAGACTGCAGGATAAGAAACCTATATTAAGCCCATTTTGTTATTTTTAACAACAAAATTAGTCGTATATCTGTTATTTTAATGGCGATTGCTCTATGCACTAATTTGAATTTTTCAAGGATTATTTATATTATAAACTTTAAAACCATCATTTAAGTCGAAAAGCTTCTTTGCAGCTCTCGGAAAAATGCCTAGCTTTGATACTGTTTGAACCTTGGCTACAGCATTGCTGTCTAACTTTTCTACGTAAAATAAATAACTCAACTGAGTTAAGTAACAAGCGCAAATGAATTAAACATTTTAAATTACAGGCGCAGGTTGAAGCAAGGCCCGCACCTGTGCATTTCCGCAGGTATATATTAAATATCGCAAAGCCTTGCTAACTGTTAAGCTTTCACCGCAATTATGAGGAAGAATACTCCAACGGAGGGCGGAGGCGGTCTATGGCCTCTTGCTTCTCTTTCCTCACCATCAACCTCTACAGAAGAATTTCGACTTGCTGTGTATTCTAAGCGCTCCCTTGCCACACAGACACTATACACTTATAAACTTCCATTCCTCCTCCGGGATTCAATTCAGACTACAAGGATTCCTTTTTTTTTAATCCGCTTCGAGTGTTAAAGGTTATATTCTGAAATATAAGATCGGATTCTAATTAACTCATAAACAGAAGACGTATCGTAATTAAACACTAGTTCTACTTATGCGACGATGTAATTAACCAGTCATCCTCAGATTCATCTCTGCGGTGAACATGACTCAGGTATTGCAGAAGAGCTTGACACTGCCGTACGTGCGCCCCCGAATGGAAACAAGACCTGTCGTCACCATTTATTATTAATACTATTATTCTTTCTCTCTTTTACTGCAGTGAACACCCACACGGTCGAAACGTGCGTTATAAAAGTAAACACGCATGAGTGGCAATATAAATGGAATCTGGAGACCAGAAGTCTGACGCCCTGGAGGGTATGAATAAATGGGAAACACTACAGAAACGAGCAGGCATATTGTGCGCTTATGGCTACCTCCATTACTGGGCTGCCCCCAGGATCTGACGGCTTGGGATTGGGAGGTTGCTGCACCTTTCGCTTGGCGACAATTTTGAGCGTAGGGCCGCAGAAGTTACTTCGACAAAGATATGACAAGCTCACAAGATGCGTGTTTTCTTTTTTCAAATTTTTCATGCAGCTCAAAAACTCCTATGTAAAGCGTGTAATGCAAAATTAATATAACATAAAATTGTGTCCTTCCCCTTTTTTGTAATAGTTCATAACAATGCTCGTATTACAAAGGAACGAAAATTTGTATAACAGTTAAAATCAGGAACTTTAGCGAAATTTTTCCCGTTTTATATCTAATATAAAATTATTACCAAATTTCATGAACTACATTTCACTAGTCTAATAGCAAATGCATTTTTTACATCTAATGCATTTCGTTCATTCTAATACCAAATGTATTTCTTTCATTATATTACACAAATGCCTAATATTTTTCATTGGCCAGACTAATCCAACAGCGATTTGAAAATCAAATCAGTGACAATGTTTAAACTATAAAATCAGTGACAATGTTTAAACTAAAAAACTCATGGTAAACAAAAAGAGAAAAGTTCTTAATTCAGTTTAACATTTTCAAAAGCATTTTCTGACATTTTCCTTAATTAACTCTTTCTGTTACACTTAAGTGTGCGCGCGCCGATGCTATCAAAATAGCGAAAGCATTTTGATATCATCGATTCAATTTGTCATTTACGAATTCCCAGATTCACAAACATTTTCTTATGCAAAATATTAACTTGCCAGAGTTTGCATATAAACGCATCCGCAAATCGTGAGTGCAAAACTATTTGTACACACTTTCTTGGCAAAATAAAAATGTTTAAAATTTGTATCTCAAGTTTATAAGAATATTTTTGTAAAATTCTAAAAAAATAAGTTTATATATAGAATTATCACATTATCGCATTTATGAATACACATTACTAATTACTCTAACATGGCAAAAAATGATGTTCTATTATCCACTAGCAAATACTTATAAAATGTCGATATTCACTTTTACTGGTGAAAACAAATATTGTCTTCCTCACCCAATGATCAACAAATTTCTTTAGCCCAGGTCTATCAGCTAAAGGCTTATAGAAGGCACACAGTCAGAGTAGTGTCGTCATTCTTTAAGTGAAAGTTAAAGTGCGAAACATTAGATGAAAAGATGGCGATATTTTGCCAACATTGGTAACCTATTTTTTTTGCCTAACTGGTAGATTTCGTTGGGAGGTCCGGGGAGGGCTGAGGTTAAGTGGGTCGAGTACATCTAAAGAATTCATTCGATAAATGTTACGTTACGTTTTTCTTCTAAAAAATGTAACTGCTGTATCTCCTACTTTCGCGGGCAAATTGCTATCGCTGGGGGTTTCGCGTTCTGCTTTCCGCCTCCCCTACGATCGAAATTCTTACGATGCTTTATGAGAGCCAGCATTTCATTCATTATATTCATTCATTTATTTATTTTTTACTTTCGTCTCTTCTTCAACAAGAAAAACTATTCCCTTTGAAATGTTTATGGCAGCACTGATTTTCGGATGATAAAGAACAAAGCAACTATTAAGAAAAGGAAAACTAACAGACAAAGCTAATTACGATCTTTAATTTACTACTATTAAATATAATTTTTCTGAGCTATAATTCAGTTATTTGGCAACAGTTTTTTTTCTTGAATAACAAGTATACGTATCATGTGACTGTTAAACATTTGCCGATTTTAGTATAGTACTAAATTGGATGAACATGACGTTTTTGTACGTATAAATCAAATAAAACGATAAGGTTAAAATTTTCTTACTACGGTCAATGAATGAAATATTATACGTAGTCACATTTT